TTCTTTGAAGGTGTTACAACAAGCAAACGGAAAGGACATTCTTGGGTGGGAGGGGGAAGAGGGAGGAGGGAGGGAGGTTTCGGTGATGGGTCATAATAATCAACCACATTGTATATTGACAAAATAAAAAAAAATAAATTTAAAAAAAGAAAAATGGCAAATTTATGAAAGAAAAAGGTGACATTGTGTGCCACCATGTAGTACAGGGCTATTACCTTCTCTCCCCACTTGCCCTTTTCTTTTCCACGCTTACGGAATATTACTGAAGGTGTCTCACTTGCAGGGCTGACCCTGGGTGCCAGCCTCAGTCTGGCCCAGGTGAAGGACATCCTGGCTGATGTGGTCCCCAAGCTCCCAGAGGAGAAGATGCAGACATACCGCACTGTCTTGAAGCATCTGAGAGCCCTGGCTGGACAACAGATCAGGAACATAGCAGTATCTTCTCTGTGCCCACCATCAGGGGTGGGTACTTTAGTGAGGAAAGGTGTATCATGCTCTATGTCTACCATTGCCTGCTATATTCCTCTATGTTTTTCACATGGCTGAATCATGGATTGCCTAATTTCAGACCCTTGTGGCATTAGCTACTAAAATGGCCAGATTTAAGTTGCCTCCCTGTTCACCCACCAATGACCTGGATCTTGTTTGAAAATGGCTGTCCAGGATCTGTGCAGTCCAGAAAGGTCTGTCTTTAACAGCTTCGTAAAGGGTTTTTAACTTGTTACCTCGTAAAGACAACTAATGGGTTCATTGAGAATAACTAAACTGATAACAAATATGAATGAGAACCACACAATTTTCTCAACCTTTTAGTGCAATTCTATATTGTAACAACTATAATATATAATATATAGTTATAAAATATTAACTATAAATATAATATACATAACTATAAACTATAACATACAGCATAGTTCTCCTTGTTAACCCTCAATCCCTCTGTATGAAAGAATTGTTGGATTGTGTGTGCCATCCAGTCTAAAGCCTCTTCTTTGATTCCTGTGGCTTTGTGTCTCCCCTGGCCTCTTCTGGATCCTGTGGCATGCACTTTCTAGGCTGTCTAAATTAGAACAGTTATATCTTTATACGAGGGCCTTTAACCAGAGTAGGTATTCTCAGCCATTCTATCAGCAATTCCTTGCACAAAGTAAGTTCTCCAAAGATGGAATCCTCACCAATGGCCCTTCCCAGGAGGCAGCTTACCCAGACCAGAGGTTGTTACCACATGTTGCCCGAGGCCATCTGTCCTCTGTCCTCTCCCTCTTATCTGAATCTCTCATTTCCTTCTCAGCTCCCAGCTCCTTGGATCTGTACTACAGCCCTGGGAAGGGTTTTAATAGTGCCTGGCTGGGATGACAGCAACTTTTCCCACCTAGATGTCACTGTTTTAGGGATGCTGCCTGGTCCCCTCTTTCAAATACTCTGCCTCAGTTCCTGCCTCTCCCTCCACCTCACCCCCTTTCCCTCATACACAGTCTGCTACCCACTCCCCTTGCCAGCTGCCAGCCCCAGGTTACTCTGCTTCACCATTTCTTGTCTATTGTCATGCAAGCTCCACAAGCATAGGTACAGAATGAATTCTACATACATAAATCATGATTTGAGTATCCTCCTACTCAGAAATTAGAAGTGGGTGGCATGGAAGTGATCTTCACTATTCGTCTTCACAGTTTCTGTTTTGTAAATAACTGAAGGGATTAGTGATTCCTCTAAAACATTTTAGGATTTGTAAGAAAATCTCTCATTCGCGCTGGCATTGTTTATTCTAATTGCCAAGTTAGATTGAAAAGAAATCATTCTTTGTGTAATTCAGCACTCACAATAAAAGCCCCCAGGTTGCTGATTAATCTTTCTTTTAGTCCTTAGGCGGTCATATTATTAGCAGACTGTCAACTTCTGATCTCAACCCCGTTGAGTGTAGGCAATTGCAAACTCAACGCTGCTTCAAAAGGTGAGCTACTGAATTCCCTTAGAAGTACTGATGTCAGTTTTATAAACAAGTGAACACAGAATTGTAGGAAAATAGGAGGGTACTTCAAAAAGTTCATGAAAAGATCCATATTATCTTTCAATTGTATTTTTCCACAAACTTTTTGAAGTACCCTCATATGAATCCCTCATTTGATTCATTGGATACACTACTAAATTTCTGTTTTTCTGTGGATAGAACTGCAAGCACACACATTATGAGGATAGTAGGTGGAAATGAGACATTTTAAGTAATCAGCAAGCACCAGGGAAAAAGCATCTCAGCTTGTCTTTCTTCTTATCTACTCATCAAAAGATGAAACACTTGCAACTGATTAGTGTTATACAGCAAGCCTATAATGTAACAGAGCATGGAGTTTTCTTTTAGTGGCAGTTTTATTTTAGTAGCTTTATGACTTGTTTTTTGTCCTGAACTTATATACTTAGGTTCTAAAGAGATCATTTACATTTTTAAAAAATTATACTTTGGTATCTGAAGGAAAAAAGAAACTATGTTTTCCTACTCTCACACATTACTCAATGCAGAACACTTCTAATACCAGATGCGCGGAGTTTTTCTTCTCACACACCAAGCAATTCTCCAGCAGACATTAACTGAATTTAACTCAATTCTGACACTATCTACCTGGAGTTAGGGTCAGATCTCACAGGTTTAGGGCTCAGTCTCAGAAGACTGCTCCCGACTGCAGATGCCAATAACGAGTTCAGGCCTCTGGAACTTCTGACCAACAGGCTATAAATTGGGGGTTCCCATGACCCCCTCTTCAAGTTTGATTAACTTACTAGAGCAGCTCACAGAACTCAGGGAAACACTCTACTTAGGTTTACCCCTTTATTATAAAGGACGTTACAAAGGATACAGATGCACACCAGTTGGAGGGGGTGCACAGGGCGAGGTGCGTGGGAGGGACACCGAGCTTCCACACCCTCTCTGGGCTCACCGCCCTCCCAACACCTCCACACGTTCAGCTATCTGGAAGCTCATCAGAACCCGGTCCCTTTGGATTTTTATAAAAGCTTTATGATGTAGGCATGATTTATTACATCACTGGTCTTTGGTCTTAGTCTACGTCCTGCTGCTATAATGGAATACAGATGGTAATTTATAAAGAAAAGAAGTTTATTTGGCTGATGATTCTGGAGGCTGGGAAGTCCAGGAGCACAGTACTGGCATCTGCTCAACATCTGGTGAGGGTCTTCTTGCTGTGACATCCCCTGGCAGAAAGTGAAGAGCAAGAGAACAAGAGAGACAGAAAGAGAGGAAAAGGGGCTGAACTCCCACAATAACACATTCTCATGATAATGGCATTAATTAATTTATAAGGGCAGAGCCCTCATGACCTAATCACCTCTTAACGGTGATTCGCCTACCTCTCAGCACTGTCACGATGGCAATTAAATTTCAAAGTGAGTTTTGGAGGAGACATTCAAATCATAGCAGTGATCAATTCAACCTTCAGCCCCTCTCCCCTTCCCAGAGGTCGGAAAGTGGGGCTGAAAGTTACAAACCTCTAATCACATGATTGGTTCCCTTGGCACCCAGCCCCCATCCTGTGGCTATCCAGAAGCCCACCAAGAGTCACCTCCTTAGAACAGAAGGTACTCCTATCACCCAGGAAATTCCAAAGAATTTAGGAAGTCTGTCAGATGCTCTGGTCACTCAAGAAATTACAAAGGTCGTAGGAGCTCTATGTCAAGAACTGAGGGCAGAGACCAATATATGTATTTCTTATTATTGTACAATATCACAGGTACCTTTTATGGGAAAATTTATAACTATAGAGGAGTCAGAGGAGGATTCATGAGGATCACAATATATCTTCCATGGTGTCAAGGGCCTATTGAATATAAAACATCTAATTTTATACTGACCTTGTCTGGTCAATTTATTTGGAAGGAAAGTTCTGATAGGACCAGCCTGGCAAAGTGGCCCCTATGTGGTAAAACAAAAGACAAAGCAGAATATGTGTTGGTTACAAATTACACGAGAAAAATCAGTCTCTTTTTCAGTTGACTTTTGACCAAAAAGTGTATTAGCCAATTTGACCCACTGCCTTATCCATCAAGCTGGCTTCTGAATGTCATTTACCTCCTACCACAAATCAAACCCACCTTCAGAGGATAAAGATGTATCACCACTGAGGCCACAGGCTCTGAAAGAACATCTCCCAAAGAGTTCCCAAGATGTCGTGAGGACAGCGGCACTATGGAGATAAATGTGTCATCTCTCCCAAGGTGTCTATTTCAAAAAGAGTAACATTTATTTGCATTTCTATGTTTTAGGATTTTGGCTTAAAATAATCACATGGCCTTAAGGAGGTTTCATTTATTGATGTCATTGCTGTCGTTTGTATTTCATTTGTCACCGTCACTGTTCTCACAAGGAACATACTCGTGTTTACCATCATTCTTCTCCAGACATTTCAGCTCTTCAAACTCACTCACATACTCTGCCCCCCACAACACATCCATGTGTCTGTCATTGTCAGCCCATTTACCCACTGATTCCAATCATTCCGCCTTGTAAGTAGCACACTGTAACCTTGGCAGGGTGTTTCCTATAAATGGGAGGAGTTCTGCTCTGGTAGCACAGCTGGAAGACTGTTTTTCCAAGACAGGGTCCCCACATACATCCGCATACAACCAGATCATGGACTAGTCACCATATGATGTGTGGCCATTTTTCAATTTCATTTTAATTTTAGAATGTATTTTTATAATAATAATAATACTGAATTTAATAAAGTATAAAGTTATTTCAATGGTGGATGGTAATTTTAAATGAGATGTTTGGGGTTTTTTTTCTTCTAAGAAGGAATATAACGAATTCCTTTAAATGATCCGTTTTCTTGCTAGAGCAACAAATTCAAGCCTTAAGCCAGAACGAATCCTAGTTTCTGTTTTTATTCCTGTCTCTAGAAAGGTACAAGATTATGACGTTTATAATGTTCACTTTCATCTGTTTGATTTTAGTTGCTTTATTTTTATCTTGAATTAAATTCAGCATAATGGAAAATAGAATTAGTAGCATTATTTTCTTATCTAAAAGTTCTTATGGTTAGACAGGAAGAATATGTTCTGGTCCCCTAGGGTGACAATAGCTGATAATAATGTATTGTATATTTCAAAATAACCAGAAAAGAGGATCTTGAATGTTATACCCACAAAGAGATGACAAATGTTTAGGTGATAGATTTGCTAACTACTCTGATTAGATCATTATACTGTATATATGCATGTATTGATACAATAAACTGTACAATAAACATATACGATGAAAAAAATAAATTAAAAAAATTTTTTTAAATGCTCCAAAAACCTAGGATCCCTGGAATCACAAATCATATAATTGAAAGAGACCAATAACCTTATTGTATAGGTGAGGAGATTGAGGTCCAAACAAGTTTAATCATTTCAACAAAGTTTCGCAGCGAACAGGTGGCAAGTGTGGCAAAACTAGAACCAAAACCCACCAGCAGCCTCAGATGATTTAAATAGAATAAAGAATAATTTATAAAATCTTTCGTTTTTGCCTTACTATCCAAGATTTAATATTTTCTTCAAATTGGTAAGAAAAATTTACAAGAAACCAAATGGATTCTGATTACACTAAGATACTGCCAGTGTATGAACATTTCACGTTCTCACCGATGGGCGAAATATGGCTTTGAGTTGCTCTTTGTTTAATGGGCAGTATCTGTTTGCCAGCTGGCAACTTGAACAAATGTGTATGGCACTGTTGTATCTCAGTTCTTGAGCTCCAGATCAGTTCAAACAGCAAATGAAAACTGATGGCCATTGCCAGAACACAGAGGAGCAGCACGCTCATTTTGTTGACACTTTCTCCCAATTATCATTCACTCCTCAGTATTTATTGAAAGTCTATTGAGCACCACATGTGCACCAAGAACAGATAAATAAACATTATTTACTAGAAATATTGCTAGGTGTCCCCTCTCACCCAGTGGTTACATATTGGATTTTTAGCTAAAATTCAGAGATATCGTTGAATAAGTTAGGAGAAGAATAAAATTAAACAAAGAGTTGTTGCTGGTAACTTGATGGTAATCAACAGAACCCGACTTGCAGAGTCTCTGCTGACTAATTTTAGGGATGCTAGGACTTCAGAACAGTCATGCCAGATGGGAAAGGAGACGATGTTCGGAGGATGGAGCATACTGCAGGCTCATGAGTGTCCACGAGGGTGGCTATAGCAATGAGTGGAATAATTTTGGAGTAAACGCAGCAGCAGGTCCTGTGCCATATCATCCATATAGTATTCTTGCCACCCCCCCAAAATTTAACCTAAATCAATTCATGAAGAAATAATCAGATAAATGCAAATTGAGGGACACTCTGCAAAACAGAGTGTCTATGACTTTCAAAAATATCAGAGTCATGAAAGACCAAAAAAGCTGGAAAACTCTTCTAGAGTAAAGGAGCCAGGGGAGCTATGAAGATGAAAACTTTATGCCTTTAAAGTCTTCTTTGTATAACGGGAGAAATTTGAATATAAACTGTATGGTAAGTAATAGGATTGTATCAATACTCAGCTGTGACAATGGTGTCGAGGTCATATAGGAGAAAGCCCTTGTATCTTAGGAGTTTCATACAGAAATATTTAGGGATGCAGTTTCATATTTTCAATGATTAACTCTCAGATGTTTCAGGTACAGCTGTGTGTGTGTGTGTGTGTGTGTGTGTGTGTCTAGCGGGATTGAGCATATGTGATATAATGTTAACCATTGGCGAATCAGTAAATCTAGGTGAAGGGTATATAAATATTTATTGTACTATCCTTCAGACTTTTCTGTTGATTTGAAATTTGTCAAAATAACAAGTCATTCTTGCATTCCACTGGGAGTTTGTGTCAGCTTTCAGACAGGGCCCACCGCAGCAAAATGCCCTAGCAATTGTGAATTCTGCAATGAGAGTCCTTTTCAAAGATGGCACAAACACCATGGTAGACTTAAGCATCTTACATGGAGGAGTTGGCCCCACTACAATCAGTGCAAATAAATCCTGTCAGCAGCTTATTAGAAGGTGATTTATAAACTTATGCCTCCTACCAAACAAAGTCTGTTGCCACCTGAGTAGTGACAACTGACATGGTTATCAAAGGCGGAGACCTATGTCTCTTTTCTGCAGCATCATAGCAATTTATAGTAATTGTATGTGATAATTAAAAGCCAGATTTTAAATAAAACAGTGTGTACCAGGGCTCAATTATGTTATGATACTTCTATGAAAGAAAATAGATTTTTCAACCTTCATTTATATTTTTTATTCTTATTTTTTATTTTAATTTATCAATGTACAATATAGTTGATTTTTGTGTTCCTTTATCAATTCCTCCTTTTCCTCCCTCTCCCCCTTCCCCCCATCAACATCATATCTGTTCACATGTCTTAACAAAATCAAGGAATGGTTGTGATTGTTGTGGCTTCTTTCCCCACCCCTGCCCCCATTCATTTGTTTATTTACTTATTTTTATTAGCTTCCACAAATAAGTGAGAACATGCGGTATTTCTCTTTCTGTACCTGGCTTATTTCACTTAATATGATTTTCTCTAAGTCCATCCATGTTGCTGTGAATGATAGTATTTCTTTTTTTTTATATAGCAGAGTAGTATTCCATTGTGTAGATATACCACATTTTCCTTATCTACTCATCCAATGTTAGGCATTTAGGTTGGTTCCAACTCTTGGCTATTGTAAATAATGCTGCAATAAACATGGGAGTACAGGTATCCCTTCAACACGATGATTTCCATTCCTTTGGGTATAATCCCAGCAGTGGAATAGTTGGATCATATGGTAGATCTATCTGTAGTTGTTTGAGGAACCTCCATACAATTTGCCATAAAGACTGCACCATTTTGCAGTCCCACCAACAGTGTAAGAGGGTTCCTTTCTCTCTGCATCCTCACCAGCATTTGTCATTCTCTGTCTTTTGGACGTTAGCCATCCTAACTGGAGTGAGATATTATCTCAAAGTGGTTTTGATTTGCATTTTCTGAATGCTGAGTGATGTTGAGCATTTTTTCATGTGTCTGTT